TTAGTTTTTCATCAAATATATATGATATTTACATAGCATATAGTATAAGGTTTTATTTTGCAACTATTATGTATTCTCATCTCACGTTTATAAAATTTCAATTTTCATAGCTACTTTAGTAGGTACTCTACAATATTAAAACCTATTTTTTATATTAAGAACATACACGTTAGGAAAGGGTAATTGCTTTTTTAACATGCTATTATCAACATACCTTAAACTTGCGTTGATTTTGTTTTCGGTATAAATTGAAGCTCAAAACGCCGTTATTTAAGTGTTTTTATAACAAAAGCCAGGTATAGTGCGTGCAAGAGACCAGTTCCTGCAATGGTAATTATGTTTCTGATGCAATTTTGAGACGGCGTCGATAAGAAGCCAGTATTACGTGTTGGACTGACTGAGTTTAAATAGTAATTTCGCTTTAAATTTATTTTTAGATAAGTTTGTATTAAGAGTAAATTAAATTCTTCTTTAATGTCAACATTAAACATCGTATCAAACACTTTTTATTCCATTTTACAATAACAAGTCTTACCTTTTGCAATATTCCCTCCAGACGTCTTTACTTTTCCTCCGACCGTTGACCCGTCTGGAAACTTAAGAGAATACACTTAAATACTTCTTATATCAAAAAAATATATTTTATATAACAGATAATCCTTAAACTTAATCGTCTAGGTACAAATTATAATAGTATACAATTTATGTTAGAACGTTAAATATAATCAATAAGAGAGTTACAGTGCAATCGGTAATTATCTGGGCCCCTCCTGATATCTGACGCAATGCGCCCGCGCATAACAAAATACGTCAACTTTCAAGTTACGACGCTCGAGAATTCCGTCTATATTAAAAACTCTTCCTGGTACAAAATTATCCTTCAAACGAATTTTTATATTCCAATATTCATTTGTTACATTTACCAGTTCAAATAATAACATATTAAATTATATCCGCAATGGATTCATAATAAATATGAATGAAACATCGCTATGAGGTTTATAGATGAAGTGTATAATTTACATTTTCATAAATTTAAACTACACGAGCGTTAATTACGTAAAATATTAACTATATAAAATAGTAATATTCTACGGGCTTCAAAGTTCTGGTAATTTTTATATAATTTGTGATATTAATAAAACTATCATTATAACAATATTTTAAATAAAACATATAGAAGTGAAAAGATTAATGTGCATGTTAAAAGTACTAAGTTATCTAACGTGTGAGAATTAAAGATCTTGCTGAGCGCTATCGACTTTTTAACAGTGTCCCTAGAGCACCGACACCCTCCACGGCGAACGGGTCGATTTCGTAACACATAATAAGTAAGCGATAAAGCATCGATTTTCACACAAAGCGAACTATGCTTCACCCAACCCCTTTCAATAAAAATCACGTTTTCTATATCACGTCACGTTGGTGGGTGACATTCATGGGTGTTTAGTGACTTCCAGGAAGTAGCAGGTTATCAGACGTACCGGGAGGGATGGCGGGGGAGGGTGAAGGAAAACTGGGTACTGGGTAGAAGTAGATCGCCCCCGCATTCGCGTCCTGGCTCTCGGCGCAACCGATCGCGCCGTTCGCTATCCCGATTATTCAATAATTTACGCGTACCGTATTTACTAAATTACGCAGCGTGTTTTATTTTCAAACGGTGAAGGTTTGTTGTGGCTAATTGAAGTGAATTGGTGATTGTATATTTAATTATTTTAGTAATAAAAAGTATATATTTTTATTTACTATCCTGAATTATATTTTCGGTTTTTTTTTTATTTAAAATGAAAGAAGGACTTATTAGTGAGAGTATATTTTCTCTAAATGAATAATTTATTTTTAAAACCTCTCGTCTCATTTTTTAAAGTATTTAATTAATTTTTATTTTCCACCTATTTTTCATTGTTCTATCTTACTTGTATAAACTCTTATATCACGTAGACATCTCCGTCTGTCAGTCCTAAGTTAAATATTTAATCGATAGACTCTATTTATTAAATGTCATCCAATGATCATTTTTCACCATCAAGCCAGCTTTCAATCGGACACCATCTGCAATTTTTCACGCGTCAGGCAGTTTATCTTTCTTTCGCTCACTAATCCAGGCTTATACTTTGAGACGTTACATTAATTAAATTTACTTTTACGTATACACATAATATTTTTTTAATTTATAAAATAATGCTACTAATAAAGGAAATACAACATTCCTTTCCAAATTGCGTATCCATATACATTTTAGTTCGCTCCAATATAGTAGTGGGAATACCAACAAAAAAACTGAAAATTTAATTTGTTTAAGTAATGTAGGCAAAGTATCAAACCGTAAATGTAGTAAGACGTAAACCGGCTTGTTCTACTCCACTTGCAAGGCATGCAGCTTTAAACATAAAAACCTAAGTCGCGCTTTCGATCCGGACACTTAAGCTAGTTTCTATGTCTGGTATATCTCTTCGTAATAGCTTTAGCCTGTGTGCTATAAATCCAAAACATTCATTACTAATACGGTCCTAACATTTAGAAAAACTTAAAATGGAACCAGTATTAAATCGAGTCACATTGCAACCGTAAATTTACGAAAACGGTCCACTATATGGGGATGTTGGAATCTATGTATCGATTCGTTAGTGTCCAAAACGACTTTTCACTTAATTTCTAAATGTTATATAATAAAGGAAATTGATATATAGGATCAGAATTAGAATATTGGAAAAATTATAATACCGTCTGTTACCCCTGAGTATACCCACCGATCTATCATCAGAATATGCCCATAAATATATAAGAAGGGAAAGCATTTCAACGAAATATACCTGTCAGGTTTAAACAAGATCAACAACTTTCTTAATCATATACACTGATGTTATTTCACAGGAAACCTATAATGTAGCTTAGACTAGCTTTAAATGTACATAATGCAATCGTTTCATAATATAAGATTTTGATGTTAAATTATTAACTTGAAATACTGCGTAATCGCCCTCACTACTAATTCGTTATTACGACTTGGAGACTGATTTCTTGTTTAAGGATTTGTTGTTTAAGGATGTATAATAATATATGATTTCTTGTTTAAGGATGTATAATTTTTGGAGTAAATTTAATACAAACAAACGGTTATCCTCTGTAAGAAATTATGACAACCGAAAGTTTTGTTTAGAAATAGGATGGAGGAATCATACAACGTAGTTGAAACGATTTCAAGTTTATTAGAAATAAATTTGATTAGAGAAACTGTTTTAGTCATATTGTAATATACATATATAACATGTTAATATAAACTGAATTTATTTACCTTTTAAATATTTTGTGTTCATATTTTCTTTATTTAATTCATGTTTTATAAATATCTTTAAGAAAGATAAAAAAATATTTTCATTATTATTTAAGTATGTCCAAATTTAGAAAATGTAGTAATATATTTGGTAACTAGTGGCATAGAAATAATTTCGATACGTATTATTTCAAATGTTGGTTCTTAAAATATTCTAATTTTAGTTTAACAAAAATATATCTTACTTTCAATTTCTTGATTTCAAATTACGGTCTTGGTTTAATTCAATTGGAAATTTACAGAAAATTAGGCGTGGTCGAGTAAAGAGTGATGGGTGTGAATTTGACGTAAGATATTAATTATTCTATTCACAAGTATAAAATATAACGGTTTCTAACAAAGCAAACTAATTCAATGTTCTATTCTAGCCTTTTGGATGTCTAAGGCAAGTTGTTTTTATTACATATAGATAACGTATAAATTCAGCGACAAATGTCATTGCAGATTTAACATCGTTTTCATATCTTATTTGTTTTTGTTATTGATTGAATAATTTCTGAAGAAATTGATTTTCAATTGGTACACTTATTGAAGTGTTCCACACATTTAATAAGATTTTGTTCCAATTTTTCCTGTTTTGGTATTAACATTTATTAACTTTTGGTGATATTTTCTTTGTTTGTTTCATAAATTTGACAATAAAAACTGTTCGTAAAATAATTTTTATAGGCTATTTTGTCTAATTTCATTATATTATATAGTTGTGAGAATTATGCTATTGTGATAACAATTTTCAAAATATAATTATTTTCTTCGTACCATTACAATTAACGTAAAACATTGAAGGCATCTTATTAATGTCATCGGTCTTTATAGAAAACTTCGATCATTTTATGTCCAGGAAAAGACCTACTTCGTGAAACAAGTTTTTCAGCTTAACTCTCAAAAGTTTCTATTCGTTGGCATTTAATTCAAAATTAGGGAGCAGGAAACGTGAGGTGGTATATTTTAAACTTTGTTCTTTGCTTTTAAATAGAAATAAATCTTCTTTACGCGTGAATCTATCCATTCATTACTTTTACGACTCCATTATCAAAAATTTTATATCCTTGAATAATTAAGAGATTATGGTACCATATTATAATTTTAATACACATACATATTTACAAATCTACGTCGGATAAGGGGCAAGGGATAATCCCACATCGGTACTTGCTTTAATTCAGGGTGTTCCTGATTCATAATTGAACTGAAAACGAGAAAACATTTCGTTTACAACATCGTTGTAGGACGATAATCTCTGTTTGATTGTCTCTCGCCTTATTTACATAATATATACATTAATAACGTAATGATGTGTTAAATATTTGAGTGCCAGGAGTGCGAATGATATGCGGGTTCTCAGTGTGACACAAATATAAAACTAGGGTACCTATCTCGTCGGTTCATGGATATAGAGGGTCATTAATACGTACGTTAATACTACTGGGTCAGCGTTGGTGCGCTGTTTTTTCCTATTACGCAATTGGGATATAATTTCCAATATTTTATTAGATGATATTAGACGCTACCAATTGCATACTTAATATAAACTGGTTGCGTCACATACAATCTCAATACATTTGTAACCTGTCATTTCTTTTAGCCACAATAACAATAAGTTAATTATATTAAAGCTAATGAATAAGTGGAACTTTCAAGTGTTAAAAATTGTGTGCGAATAAGTATGGCCATGTGGTGGTTGTTTTGGCTGACATCCTGCAGCCTCCTAATGAGGATCGATGCGACTCTTTATGACGACGAATACGACCCATATACAAGGACATACGACTATGCATCATCTGGTTAGTATTTTTCAAGTCTTTTAAGAGCTTTTAGCACATTTATATATTTTATTGTTTAAAAGGTATCGATTATATTTGAAGAACATCACATTTATTCAAACCACCAGACAAGATCAACGGGAATTTGTTTTTTTGGATGGTATAACTGCAACGTTGCAAGTTATTATTGTTCATTCCATATCTTAAATTTAAACAAAGAATGGTCACGTTAAACTTAAACTTTTAAAGAGAAAAGTATCTAACAAATTAGTAGGTTATATAAGCATGGTCGATTTTAGCAGTCTTTTAATAAATACTGTTTCAGTTATGAATCCTTTCTCTTAATATTTTTTTAATTCAAGTCAGACTCACATTTCGCTTCAATAAATTTTGTAGTTGAAACTATAATTTTTCGACTCAAGTGTGGCTTTACAAATCTGTACAAATCATTTATTTAGGTATTTGCAAAATTTATAAGTTTTGAAATAGTATAATCTTCTCACCTAGTAATAGAGATCAAATATAAGTAATTCATGTTTAGAAACATCAGTATCATTACTTAGTCTTGAACAGAATTTTCTATGCATTACGGATTTGTGAAATGTATTTATTGATGTCATGACATGACATTTTATCTGGAAACATTATTATGTACCTTTTAATGTATTGAGTATCCAAATACTTTATGTGAACGAAAATGAATACATTTGACTTTAGTTTAATAGATTTGGGTCGTTTTGGTATCTGATAATGGTAATAACCGCTGCATGGATTTAAAAGTAATTTACTTTTGATAGAAAAATTCATTGATTGCTTTATATACCAATGATTTTTCAATGAAAAATATAAAACTAACATTAAAAAAGGCGTACGTCAATAATAGCTATGCTCAAAACATTAAAATTTATTCAAAACATTGTTTTGATTTCTATTTACGCTGCTAGCTGAAATCAACAATAATAGGCAACTGGATGCCACTCATATCTACATCGGATGTACGGATTGGCGGCGTTCAATAAACGACTTTATCGCCTTGCTATTATGCTTTAATACAAGATAATTCCCGGACTAAAATAGGAAACAAATTGAGCAAACTTATGCAACATTCATAATGAAATGGAAGTCGAGGGTTGAGGACGCCAGGTTTAAGTGCGCTTCAGGTCCGTTGTTAGAGTAACGAATGCACATCGCTATCGCCTCGCGAAGATGGCCCGGTAATACAATTTCTCTGCACTTCGAAGCTACTGCCGCTTTGGGAACAATTTTGTCTAATGCTTGCATCTCGTATGTAACAATTTGATGCTAAATAAAAATGTTTCGCCCCATTGAATGCATAATTCAGTATTAGCTTATATTGAGTACGTTCTTTAGTAAATTTATGAACATATTTATCGTAAACAAAAATATGGCTGGAATTTTCTGTGGTAGGTTTTTATAAATCGTGAGAAGTACTGCTACCAAATTGTTACCTTGCTACATTTACTACATAAATGCTTCAAAATGTTTTCTTTCAACTTGTCCTGGTTTGTATGAAAATAATTAAGTCTGCCCTAATATAAGCAGGTGATCCCAAAATGAATTGCCTAAATAGGAAATAACGAAGGAAATGAAACTGAACTAATTTTACTTTTCGACATAATCACCATGAATAACTAACAAACTTCTGATATCCGTGAATCAACATCTCTTAACTTTTATAAAAAACATTCACAATTTTTAACCCTAGAATGCCTGCAACTCTTCATCGCTTTAAAATTTGCTGCACCTAAAGTCCCGCTTTAGATTTGGAAATAAATAATAGTCGGACGGGGCCATGTCTGGACTGTAAGGTGGATGTTGCACTTCTGTGAACCTTCATTGACGAACACTCGTAATTGACTTTACTTCGTGTTTCCTTTACTTTGTCTCGTAATTAATATATTCATAACTGTATTACGTTCTTTAAAATCCACTTTAAAAATGCTGTAAAATCCCAAAACATTGTGCAAATCAGTAACTCCAAACCGCAGCACACTCTTTATTGTCTCTAAACTGATGAAAGAAGTTTCGGAACTCATCTTGCACTTTTTTTCTCGTATGAAGATGTTCATGGATCACACTATGGACGGTAATTTTAGACAGACCAAGCTTAGCTGCAAGTTCTCTGAACCTCTCAACTTTGAGGAGAGCAAACCTTTCGGTAGTGAGCACTTCTACAGGTTGACCAGTAGCCAAGGTCTTGGACGGTTTCTATCCCGAGGAAACTCTGACCCAGTTTTTAGCTGCGCTGTAGGAGGGGGCAGATTCATTATACACGCCATCCAATCGTTTTTTTATTTGGGCAGGAGATAAACTTTCTTTAAACAGAAACTTTATAACACTTCTATACTCAGTTTTCGACATTCTGAAAAAATACGCGGCTGTCATTCAAATTCCTGCAAAACTAAGACTAAACTTTTCATGTCGATGAGTTTTTCTTATTTTAGGTACACGATAAACGTTCTATTTAATTCAACACAACATGTAGCGTCATGTCGCTTAGAACTATATCTATAATTGAGATTATTTAATTAGAAATTACACACAAAAAATATTAAATGATAAATAGAAACTCACTAAGAATTTCTTAATATTTTTATGAAACATTATAACAGTTGTGATAATTATATCGTAAGTACTCTTACTTTTTACTCTAAAAAAGTATTAAAATTTTTTTCAAGTACTGTTAAGATAATTTCTAGGAAGAATATTGAAACAGATTTTTAAAAATATCTGTTTTACGGGAATGTAGATATATATAGAATATAAAGGGATCGTAAAACCCGTAAATCCAATCTTCGAACACCAAGATAATAACATCAGTGGCTAACACAATCCATGTAAGATAGCTCCGGGCAATTTTAAGATAGCAATTTACTATTACATGTTCTATATATATAACCAAATAAGTTCCAAGAAATAACCTTTAATGAAGTCTAAGAAACGACGGTGTTGACCTAATTCAAATTATAATTCTACTTTCCTCTCCTTTGATAATGTTATTGCAAGTGTAAAGCAATTTATAAGATGAATAAGTCTTAACTTTTTCATTTAGTGTTATAATGGCTTTATGTTCCGAGGCGTAAAAAAAGAAATATCCGTATTGTGTTTCTTTCTTTGTTTCAAAATTTAATATTCTATGGAACGAGGCTTTCGTTACTTGTATCGTTGTCGGTGTCAAAATTAATCAAAGTCTATAAAGAAATTTGGTTTGATATCTACGTTTAGACACTTCCGCTACGCCCTGACTTCGTCTGTAAATTTCAGTAGCCTTGAATGGTTATGGCTTACTAAAATATTTCTTAATTTTTCCTTATTTCGTAGTCTAATCATAAAACAAAATCATTACCTTATTAAGCAAATGCAATAAAGACATAATGTAGATATAACAAATACATATCTTATTTGAAACTATATAAACGTAACACAGAAATGGTACCTACATTAAACATTACGAACAAATAAAAATTGTATATATAATAGTTTATTACTGGAATCACTATGTACATTAAAATGTAACCATCGTCAGCATTAACAACCTGCGTTTCTGCATTGCGACCAATGACGGTATATACCATTCTGCTAATAGGACCTTATATCCAAGGGATTAATTAAACGTTCACTATCTCCAATCTCCTTGTTTTATTGGTGTGGATTAAGCGGATAAGTACAGTTTAGGTATTCAATGTGACTAGACTTTGATATTTGTATCAAACAACAATTAGCATTCACCCAGAAATGAGTTAACAGATATTTTAGAAAGAATAATCAATAATTTAAGAGAACTTTTAGCATAATGCTATTTACTTTCAGTGCCTTCTGTTTATAGATCTGAATTTTAGTCACGCAAGAAATTCATTTGCATACAACGTTAAGCTAGCCTTGAAACAAGTATCACGACTCCCAACACACCACACTATAATGTGCTCGAGGCATTAACTAGGTTATTACAGACGGCTTTCTTAAGATAAAATAACATTCAAGCTTCCAAGTGTCGTGGTGCTCCAAAGAGGATTACTCCTGTATAAAAGTAGATTTTTACAACTTGAATAACATTCACATTCCAAATTAGGGTCAGTGTATGAAAAATTCAGTTCCATATAGCTCAATTCACTCTCTCCAGATACTTCGGCCTGAACTTATTTTCGCCGTTACTGTTCTTGTGAATTTTTCTAAGGATCATTTTGCTCAAGTAAAGTCAATTACTTGAGAACGTTTTAGACCTTCTGTTTTGCTGAAAATGGATGCCGATTGCCAATTAGAAGAGTCGTTATAACAATTTTCTTTTAGTAGACACCTTTTTAAAGTATAAGGAAAGAATTCTTTGATTATAAAAAAGTAGCTTTTTGTTTAGTTTCCATTAACAAACAGACGAGTAGTATTAATGAATCGATTTTGTGTAATAATCATTAAAGATATTGTTTAAATGCATTTTGGCTTAAATTGAACATAACTGTTAATCAGATAATTGCGAAATTCGACAATAGTAAATCAAACCCAATGTATCTAATTAAGTACGGTGATAAATAAATGAGATAACATTATATTAGATACATATAATACGTGTATGGGGCAATAATTAAAATGCTAAATTGTTTCACAAAGCTCGGTGATTAAGTACTAAAGTGACTTAAGAACAATGACGGGATAAGGTACTGTAATTTTGAATAAACATTTTAAGATACAAGTGATGTCGTATACTACAATTTATTACAAGGGGTATAATAAAACGGGTGCGCAGTACACACTCTAAACTCTCGTCTTGTTGTTATTATTCGAACTCTCGTTTTGCCTACAAATTGTTCGTTCGCGTGGGAATCACTATGAGATAAAGTTGATATTCTTAAACAACGTTTCGTGTCTTCGTTGAAATGGATGTCATAAATTTCGAATCAGACGTCGTTTGTCCTACGATTTATCGAATATATTTATTTATGGGTGACGGATTCAAATATATGGAATGATTTCAATCAAAATATGTATTTAATACGTTTCGATTGTTGTAGAAATTTTAAGTATCGCTAGAAACTGGGAGAGTTTCTTGATAAACAATCATTTCTTATAGTAGAATAGCGATTAATATTACAAAAGATATACATAAGTAAGATGTAATTTATTTTTCTTATTTCCAGAGAGTCGAACCTGCACATCGTCTGAGTTCAGATGCAAGACCGGCCGCTGCGTGCCGATGTCGTGGCGATGCGACAACGAAAAGGATTGTTCAGATGGATCAGACGAAGAACCTGGAACTTGCAGTAAGTTCACATCACGCAAAAACATACAGTCATTAATTACATAATAAACTTGCAAGATCTTCCAAGATTACGTTCCTACTGAGACATATTTATTCAAATCATTTGAATTGATCTTTTCTCCGGAGGCAATAGACAGTATTTACAAAATATTTTAACTGGTCACTGTAATTGTATACTTGCATTATTTATTAAATATGGTTAATTTGTGTTCAATACATCTATTATTTTTAATATAAATTATAATTATTGTACTATAACTGGTGACCATATTTATAAAAATTTCATCGTAGAAGTTTAAACACTGAACAGAAGAAAGAGAATTCTTTGCAGGAGTACACATTTCGCATTTTAAATGTTAGGGTGGAAAATGTGATGTGAACAGTGAAATTGCAGCTCGATACCAAAGAATATTGCATTGGTCAGGAGTAAATAAAAATGTTCCTTGCATTATTAACTATGTTTCCTTCTATTTCTCTTTTGGTAGATCAAAATTTTTACAATAATATTTCTGTCAATGAAAGACAGTGACGAGTTTGAGTATTATAGAAAAAATATGTTATCAAGGCACTAATAAGTAGTTTCTAAACTATAATGAAATATTCTATTTTTTTACATAGCATCTACACGAGAGGAGTCTAGTCGTAATGTAGAAATATAACTTGTTCATATTCTTCGAGGATAGAACTAAATAAATATTGTTTAGTTTACTTGACCTTCTATTGTCTAAGTCTCCATCTTTATTGCAAAAAGTTATTTTTTCAACTTCCCACGCTACTCTTATGGGATTAAACAACTTACAAATCTTGGAATTTCCTCAACAAAATGTAGGTTTTCACATTATTTTCATTCATCGATCAGACCAGAACAAATGTGAATATCAAACGATGATAGATTTATAAAACTTTCTTCGGACAGTTTTCCATAAAAGTTTAAAAGTAATCTATTTATATCTAAACTTGCTAAGTCATATCCACCTTGTAAGGTTTAAACGTTTCTTATACTGTAATTAATCACAGAAAATGTTAGATTAAAATGTACGTTCATTATGTTGGTTCGTGAAAAGAACTCACAATTTATATTTCATAAAATATTTTTTAATGATGTTAAAACCAAATATACGGCTTAGAATAACTTTCCTAATTTCGTGTATGAAATTTAGCAAATGATATACATTCATTTTGAATTGAATAAACAGATGAGAATTATTTTAAATAAACAGAACATAAATAAATTTTATCCGATACAGGTCACGTCAAAAACTACAAATGTCGGAGCTGTACAGTTCTAAAACAGATAAAGTTAGCTGTAGGTTTTCGAATTAGAAATGTTATTATAACACTATAAAATGGTACAAGATCATAAATTTCCTTTCTGAATATAAATCCTGCTTAACAGTAAGCCTACATTAAATTACTTATAAAGCCAATCTAGTTGAGTAACAATTTAAATTGTTCTCATGTTTTATAACATCTGAAGGATTTTAAATAGAGCTTAAGTTTTTATTCTCATCTTCAATAACCATCTTTATATATGTGATTTTGAAAGAGCTTTAAAACGGTTCTTATGATTTTTATTGAATATATGTTAAAGATACATTTTAGATATGAAAATTTCATCATGGTTAACTTTCTTTCAATTACCATGAAAAGAAGTATACGTACTATAAGTTTTCCTAAATTTATATTACAGTCGGTTTTATCTAATGTAATCAATGTAATCAAAAATGATCTTTTACGTAATTGAAGACGCAGATTTATTAATTTAGGAACACAATCTTTTATTTTTTTAGAAAAATAATATCCAACATAGTTATGTGCTTGAATAAAAATTACCAATTGAGTTGGTGTTATGAAAATATATATACTTACTATCTTAAGTACTCGGTAGTGAAAACTTTTATTATTCCCCAAAAAATAATTATCTAGCGATTTATGAAGAAAGTTTTGAGGTAGCACGTTGTCCTCGGCGGGGTTTCCGACGCGGATTAAAATCTTAATTACGGTTCGGAAGTTCCCCTGACTAATATTATAATCCTTGCCCTTTCCACCTTCTTTCAGTTATGAATTGTGAATTAGAATTCCATTTGAATACATCGATTATACAGTTCGGTTCAAATATTTGAATTAAATATTAAATTGGAATACCAACACGGGATAATTAAAATTCTTTGAATTTATGTAAATTGACGTAAATAACATCACTCCTTTGATAACTTAATAGATATCAAAATTTTCGGCTGACTTATAACGAAACTTTGGTCCAAACATATTTATTTTTAAGAAGTGATCAAGAATAACTGTTTTTAGACCATCGAGTCAGTTGACCCTTCTTGTATTGAACAGTCTACGTCCGTTAATAATTTAGCGAGATCTAATGCTTTTAAGAAATAAATTTTATAACACACGATAAATTTACTTTACTCTAACAAAATCGTGCACTATATAAGGAGACTTCTTATTTGTTACAAAACTAAGCAGAATTTTAATACGGTTTTGTATTAAGTACCGCCTGGGCTCTGAGGAATGGGACGTTGATTTATTTAGATTGTTGCTTTTTATTGATATACATGACATTATTATCCTTCACATGTCAAATCGTATTAAAATAAAGTCTACTGATGTGTCACTGAACTTGTAATATATCTTATTTAATTATTCCGAACTGTAAGTCTAGACAAGTGAAACCTACGCATATCTTTTAATGTTAAATGTAAAAAATTTACGATATCTCTTGAAACATAATAAGTGTAAGGTTTGTAAAGCATTAGATAATTCTCAATTTTAAAGCCCATTTTCTATATGAAATCTGCGAATGGACGACATTTTTAAACTTTTCTTACTACGAATAAATACATAGATATTATTTTATTCTCACAAAAGGGTCTCAGCGTTCGACCACTACTTTGTATACTTCAAGTTAAGTGGACCCATTATAATGGAAAATCCTCTAATACCCGAACACGCACTGTTTTATTATAAAGGTAGCATTTACGTAAGTAATATATGAAACTTGTAAAATATTTATCAATATTTATATCAAAGAGCAGTCAGGCCATATACCTTTATTTTTATACCATTGTCTTAAAACCGTATTGTATTTTCTACAAATGCTTAGGAGCATAGAGATATAAATGTCTCGACCACAAAGCTTTTGAATGTCATACAATATCTTGTTACGGGCATTTATTGTGTAAAGCCTACGAGACTTGTATATGTTTCAACTGTAATTGTTATTCTATTTATATAAGATATTGCTTCTCGAAGAGGAGAAAAGAAAATTTATGTATGCATTTAAAACAAACTTAATTCTTAATATTTGGTACGGAGGTTCTATCTCAACAAAGCTGAAGACTAAGACGTGTTGGTTGTTTTTTTTTTTACTACCTACTTTATTTATATATGTACATAGAAAATGCAATTCTAATTTACTACCCAAAGACTTTGAAATAAGTCTATGTTCTATCCAGTAGTAACGTTGAAAGCTTTGACTTTGTTTTATTCCTGAGATTATACTTAAATAACGCATCCGATTTTAAATGATGAATGATTTTGTATCCAGCCCATTACTATTAAGAGACGTTAAAGACATATTCTTTTTTGTTTTTATTTATGTTACTTTCTTTCCATCCTTATTGATATCCATCACACAATACATTCATATACGTCACCAATACTTTTATACCCAGCGTCGCAGCGTAGTTGTGCTGGACACAATTTTGTTTGTGCAACCGGTCATTGCATACCCGGGTCCTGGCGTTGCGATGACACCCCGGATTGCCCTGATGGCTCTGATGAGCATCATTGTGGTAAGATTCTAAATTGAACTAGGCATGCAGCATGGGCTATCTGCTTCGGGTATACACAAACGAGTTCATGTGAATCCACTATATGGTATGGCGTTAAAATTAAGACTAAGGTACGAGCGAAGATACACACTTAGGAGTCTTCTAGGATGTACATTATAGGCCCGGTAGCGAATATAATATAAACAAAAATATATTCAAATATCTCTTGTATAGGTCAATAAACTCGGTTTCAGAATAACGGTTTGAAATTTTACAAGGCCGCAACAGTACAACGGAAGGCAAATTATAAGTCGAGGGTTCGCGAAAATTGCAATTAAACCGACATCTGTTTTTACTTCATCCGAAAGTTTTTTAAAATACCACGTATTTTATAAAATAAAATATTATTATTTTTAAATACATACAGATTTATTGATATTTGGACTAACATTTTTTTATTCAGATAATGTTCGCATTACTTTAATATGTGAAGCGGCTAATTTTAATTATTATATGTATAAGTTTATTTCAGCATATAGAAGGAATAGAAAATTTGGTAGTTTTATCTACAATACGTTCTGTAAGCAAAAAAACGTTTACGAATGAAACAGTGCATTGCGGATTATTTCAACTTATCTCATCTATAATCATCGATTTCAATAAAGGAATCACTGTCATTGTTACCAGAGCGCTTTACATTGCATGGCTTGTATTCGCAGAGGTGGAGTCATGCGGCCCAGAGGAATTCACATGCAGAGGAAAACGTGGAGAATGCGTCCCATTGACTTGGATGTGTGACGATAACGTTGATTGCTCAGATGGTTCAGACGAGAAAGCATGCAGTAAGATCATTTCACTAACACTGTATGCTAAACCATTAACACATACTAACTTTAATCTCACATGCATGGTATGACATTAATATGGCTATACACTATTCATATCTCGTTTGTTTTAATACTCTAACTATATGAATATTTTTATGAAATTTTGATATAACAATATTTTTAATAACTAAACGGAAGTGGTAGACGTAAAGCCAGTGTTATTAAATCCGGGGGATAGAGGTTTTACACCCGATTTAGAGGTCGTATGCCGATATTACATCGTTCAATCAAAACTGTTTACTCAGCCGATAGCCAGAGTTCTATAAGATTAAATCGCTTGAAGTTATAGTCACATATTTTATATAAAATATTTTAGTTTAAAATATTCTAATATGTGTTACTATTATAAAATATATAAGATTTTCTTTTATTACAATCTAATTTAAATCTAAGGTAATTTGAATCATCATAATAATGAAAATGTATAAAAAAAATAATTAACAAGCTTATTACAATTCAATTCCCTCTTAGACGTTTAAAATATAATCTTGATGAAATATAACCTCAATATTCAAACTGTGTCAATTTGAAGCTGTCGTGTAATTAAATATTGTACAAAAAAATTCCAACAGTGAGGACGAATACGAGAAATATAAAAGAGGCAATATACATATATTAATTTCATGATATACTTCACTGTCAGCGTTGTTGATTTGAGCAACGTATTCCGCTTGAAAACGGTTTTCTGAAAACTTTTAGCTGAGCTGTAATATTTACATAAATTCCGTCGTAGCAGTTGGACTGTTTTAGAGAAAGATCTCTTTTCCATCCATATTATAAAATGTTGCACGAAAAATACATTTGTCGTTACTTACTCTTGGATCCATTCTGTTACAGATATTTGCATTCCGTATTTTTGTATTATCTAAATGTTTCTTTCTAAAATTTATTTGCAAAAAAATGATTTTAACATAGTAGAGGTTTATTTTTAACATTTATTCATAAACTTATAAATGTTCTCATTCAAATCTAAGTACTTAAGTTCAGGGGTTAGTTCTCAACAATATGATTGCTGGTATTTTTTTGCTTTTCTCATTATAGTGTTCTTGGCTATTTCTTATTTCTCCTTCATTACTTGGCCACTTAGAGCTCGCTCGTGGAATGCTTTAATACCGCTTGCACTGTTTAGCTTCATCTTTATTTTAATTAGTTGCTCTAACAGAATGTACTTTTAGTATTAAGATATACAGAACGAATGGATAACAGTTAATTCTTCATATAGATGAAACTTGCCGGTCCGATGAGTTTACATGTGGGAATGGTAAATGTATACAACAAAGATGGGTTTGTGATGGTGATGACGACTGTGGTGATGGAAGCGATGAGGTGAAGTGTCCAGCACCGACCTGCCAACCTCACAGCCACTTCTCCTGTGCTGATGGACATTGTGTCACAGCTAGATGGCGCTGCGACGGCGACATTGATTGCCCTGATGGTAGTGATGAAATGGTAAGCACTGAAAGATTGTTATGCTCAATTTTGTATGTACGTATATAGAATATAATCTAACCATACTGTCCATCACAAACAAATATATATTATTGACCTATGTTGACGTAATATTAGAATTTATATGCAATAAATTTGATATGCACTATTTTAACAGAAGATTTTAGAAAACCTTGTAAGGAATAAATGGCTATATAATTAAAACTTCGTTATAATGAACATGGAAACATAAAAACCAATTCCGTTAAATTAAAAAAAACCGCTTCTCATTCCAGGGTTGCGCCACTACACCAAAAATAACATCGCCGTGTATTGCCACTGAGTTTGAATGTCGTGATCGCATCACATGTGTTCACCGAGCTTGGGTCTGCGATGGTGATAAGGATTGTGCTGACGGAGGTGATGAAGCTCCTGAACTCTGCCGCGGGAACGTCACTTGCAGACTTGACCAATTCACATGCAAAGACCACAGCTGCATACCAGGAGCACTGTATTGCAACGGAGACAAAGACTGCCCGGACGGCAGCGATGAAGTTAACTGCAGTGAGTATTATAATGATCCTACTATTGAATCATTTACATATTAAAGTTTGGAGTTGATACGGAACCCAGTAAGATAATTATGTTCGTTGTAAATTTATTCGCTATAGAAGTAGGAGCGAAAAGTATAATAACCAAATCTCTACAAACTTACAAAAAGACTTGGGCTTGTCGAGAACTAACATCAGTTCATTCGTTCATTAATTGTATTTGTACTTACTTAGTACCTTCTTTGAATTTGGTACGATATTTTTTTTATGAATTTGGGTGCCGCCCTTGATAGTTTAGTTTCACAAATCAACCCGGCAGATAGCGCTGCAGTCGGTATCTAGGTAAAATGAAAAATATGCGACGTAGGTTACTAGGTATATGAATTGTTTTACTCGTAACGCACTATACATTTCTGTCTAAATGCAACTCCGAGCACACAAATATCACACTGTCATATTATTGAAAATTCTATTATTATTAAAAAAAATAAAACAAACAAGTTTTCATTAATTTTATTGAATAGTTAGAACCGGACATTCTTATATTATTAAATATATTCTCATAGTATTTCAAATTCATTGAACATTTCAATAATATTATCTGTTAGCTAAGTTTAGCTGTAATTTATATAGAATTCTTGTATGCCAGTATATAATGGCAATAAATATGGTTTAACCTAAAAGTATTTCTAAATGAAATGAATGATTTGTCAAGGATCATTCGGAGTTGTACAACAATAAAAAATATTAAGAAAGTGTATATCCTATATGATACTATTTTTTTTTATCAAACAATAAAATTCAAATTAAAATCAACAATATTGAGATTTTGAGACCAAACAATCGATTAATATATACAAACTATTTCAGCTAAACCGAAACACGTGTGCGACAAAAGGACAGAATTCGACTGTGGCGGCGGTATGTGCATACCCTTATCTAAGGTCTGCGACAAACGACCGGACTGTCCCAACTTTGAAGACGAACCTCGTGACAGATGTGGGGAAGATGAATGTGCTGTAAACAATGGAGGTTGTACACAAAAGTGTGTGGACACCCCAGTGGGGTACTACTGCGACTGTGAGAAAGGATACAAACTATCTGATAACAGGACTTGCGAAGGTGAGATAGCATTATCCAAAAACCGATAATAACTGGTAATAACCGGATTTATAGAGATTATCATGATTGGATTATAATTTATAAGCAATATTATCGTATCCGATGCCTACCTACATCAAATTACTTTGAAATAGTAGATTTAAATTATCGCCACGTAAATTAGGATCTATCACTTAGCTTTGTCAGATATTTGATAATTGGAACGAAATTTCAACGAGATCGGATGCGGTTTGGCAAATATTTAGTTCACAAATCCCTTTATCCATTTGGCAATGCGAACATGAACCATTATATTGTATCAGTCGTACGATTTAATCAGACCAGTAACAAAACAGAATGTAATCAGGCAATAAAAGAAGTCATAAAATTCGACTAAATCCAAATTTAATAAATAACAAACATTCCAGTCGATGATAATTTAAATACCCCAAAAATAAGTCGGATACGAAAATTTATCAGATATTCAGAAAATACCGAAATGCTTTATTGTATTGAATCTTCTTAAGAAGTAAATTAAAAATACGACAAAATCTCATAATAATATCCTTAATTGCAGACATCGACGAATGTTTGGATCCGGGCGCGTGTTCCCAGATATGCACCAATGAGAAAGGCACCTTCAAATGCGAGTGTCACCCCGGCTACGCGAGGGACCCTCGTGATAGGACCCGCTGTAAGGCTACCGAGGGTCATCCTTCACTGTTGTTCGCGAGGCGTTTTGACATCAGGAAGATCAGCTTGGACCATCATGAGATGGTCGCTATAGTCAACGACACCAAGTCAGCCACAGCCCTGGACTACGTCTTCAGAACTGGAATGATCTTTTGGAGTGACGTCATCGATGAGAAAATTTACAAGTACGTCTATAGAACACACGTTATTTGATATACATTATATAAATTTCACTGGTTGCTATTTTAAATATATTAATACTAGCTGCTCCCCGCGGTGTTACCCGCGGATTTCCGGGATTTCGGGGATGTAAAGTAGCCTATATGTTCCTAGACGTCAGATTCCTGTGTACAAAATTTTGTCAAAATCGGTTCAGCCGTTCACAAACTTTCGCAATTATAATATTAGTAGGATTATGGTAAAAAACTTTAGTAATTCTATTAGGTTTATGCAAATAAAAGTGTAGAAATAATCACCTATAAGAAATCACAGAATAAATTGAAAAATACCTATCATTATTGAATTATTAAATGTTTATTTGGTTCATCTTCCCATTATAAAGAAGAAATGCTTAAAAACAACTATTTGTTCGGAATAATTTACTTCCAAGAGGCAACAGAAAACAGTGAACACTTATACTATATGACATTAATTTTATAAATTATTCGACAATTTATCAATAACAGCCTATGAATACATGTGTTAACAATTAATTGACATCAATAAATAAATATTTCAACTCGTGTTCTATAGTTACATAACTATGAGAATCAAGAATTATAATTTCATGAACAACCAACATATTTATGTTTTAAACAAGCAAATGCCGTCACTTCCGTCCAGTCATTTACAATGACGCGTAAATAAATAATTATGTATAAATTGTTTTGATAGTTTTAAAAAAATAATTATAATTGATGATTCACTTTTAAATTGATTTCTTTTCAAAAATAAAATCATGTGAATGTTTATCAGGCCTCCAATTCACTCCTAATTTGGTTGCTTTTAAAAAAATAATCATGTGAATGTTTATCAGAGCTCCAATAGACGAAGGTAGCCAACGCACAGTGGTGATAGGAGATCAGCTGATCACGTCCGATGGTCTAGCAGTCGACTGGATCTACAACCACTTATACTGGACCGACACTGGCAAGAACCATATCGAACTGGCCGACCTTCAAGGAAACATGAGGAAGATACTCATCAGAGACAAGCTCGAAGAACCGAGAGCCATAGCTCTTAATCCACTGGACGGGTCAGTTAATAATAATTCATCAATACCTAGTCTTATCTAGTATAATCGGACAAGTGACGATAACATAATTTTATTTTTATGAATATAATTATCTTACAATTATTGGATTAGCACAATTTGTATCATAAATCTTTTTTTGTTTTGCAAATTATCAATATATTTTTCCAACGGAAGTTGTAGATTATGAAAATAGAAGTAAAATTCTCTAAACATATTGTAATATCAACCTACACCTGGGTCGCAAGTCCCAGGCACTGTTGGAGCTCCTCTCCCTGTAATGCGATGGACCCGGCACCCGCACGGTGCCGGTCCATCAATGCTGAGAGGTTTCGTCTCTTAATATAATGTTATATTTATTTCAACAGTTGGATGTATTGGACTGACTGGGGCCAGGTGCCTAAGATCGAGCGCGCTGGTATGGATGGATCACACAGACAGACCATAGTATCCTATGACGTCAAATGGCCCAACGGTCTCACTCTAGACCTCGTCCGAAAACGCGTATACTGGGTAAACTTACTTACTTCTGTTTATTTGTGACTAGCTTTCCGCCCGCAGCTTCGCCAGCGTGGAGTTCGGTTACATCGCGTTTCCAAGAGAACCTTTCAAAAGTCTGGGATAAAAACTATCCTATGTTCTTTTACAAGGTCAACTCTACAGGGTGACTGGTGAATTACTATCGATATTTGAGGACGTGATATGTGACGATCATATATGACAAAATAAAAATTAATATAACATAAATATTAATAAACTTCTAAGTAAAATTAACCAAAAGTTGTGTAATTAATTACGCATCGTGTGAACACCCTACAGATTAGGTATACACTCACTCTCACACATACGCGTGTCGCGACGTAGTGTTGTATCCGCACGCCGCCGCACGCCTCCACACTTGAACACTTGGAACGTATCCACACTTTATTTATTTATACGGAAATTTTGTCAAAAATTAATTACCTATTTTTTTTACATAATTTGAATGAGAATCATGTACCGAGTATTCTCCTTAAATATTGATAGTAATTCACCAGTCACCCTGTATATCCGTACAAAATTTCATTAAAATCAGTTCAGTGGTTTAGGCGTGAAAGCGTAACAGACAGACAGACAGAGTTACTTTCGCATTTATAATATTAGTAGGGATTATCTATTATTTTTATTTAAGAAACTAGTTGAGTGAATTGACCTTAGCGTTTCGGTACAGAAGCGTCCTATTGGACACGAATTCCGTTTTTCGTCCATATAAATTAAATTGTTGGTTTAATCAATTTTTTTTATGATAGAAACTATTCCAAATAACTCGGCTATCGAAAATAAAAAAGAATCGATCAAACTTTAGATAACCGACATCATCTCCATTGATGAATGACCTGAGCCACCAGTATTTACGTGTAAAAAAGTAATTACGCGTAATAAATTATAAAAATAATATGTATATATGTAATATTTAAGTTACATGCGTTTGTGACTTGTAAAAAACTTATATTTACTTATAGCTTTAGCAAAAAACCATACAAGTTTGTTTTTTTTTTTTTTGAAGATGCGAAAACCTTTTTAAATAACCAAATATATTATTTTCGTCATCGGCCTATGAGACCCCACTGCTGAGCAAAGGGCTCTTCTTACATGGAGAAGGTTTGAGCATTAATCACCATGCTTACTCAAGACTGGTTGGTAATTTCTAACTTATGTATAAGTGAAATTATAAGTCCAGGTTTCCTCACGAAGTTTTCCTCCACCGTCGGTCAGTGGTGTCTAAATACTCTTAGAAAATACATATGATTCGGAAGAATCACATTGATAATTGCCAGGATCGAAGCCGCGCCCTACTCCACATGAGTGGCATGCTTTTAACTACTAGGCCACCACTGACTTACATATAAATAAATATAACCAAAAAAAATCATATTTGACATTGTTAACACATTATGATAGTTAATAACATCTACATACTAATAATATTTAAATATAAAACCTTCGTTTTTAAATAATTATAAATAGAATAAGCCTTAAAAATAAGAAAATCACTGAATAATAATAATAAAAGTACTATTAATAAGTACATATAATATACTTGGTGTTAGGTTGATGCGAAGGTGAACACAATATCGTCATGTAACTACGACGGCTCGGGTCGGCGCGTGGTGTTGTACTCCAGCGAGGTGCTCCGCCATCCCTTCAGCATCACCACCTTCGAAGACTGGGTCTACTGGACCGACTGGGACAAGACCGCGGTCTACCGCGCCAACAAGTTCAACGGAAAGGATATTGAAGCTATCACTTCGACTCATACGGTAATAATTATATACAAATATATCATTTCTATTATATATCCATGGGTCTTATCTATAAGGGCCAATGGAGAAATTTAGCCATTTTAATTTTTTTGCTTTAAAAACCTCATAATATGTACTGTATTCTACAACATCATTTAAAAAAATGTATATTTGTTGGTGGAAAGACTAAATTGTTATTGCTGTTAAAAATCATAGGTAACACATTTTTAACGTACAAGGGCTTATATATTGTATATTATAAAAAATGTATATATAAATATATATTTAAAAAACTAGTAGGCTTACAAAAAGTTTATCCGGCATAAATAACGTACATGTATGTCATAGTTGCTATGAAAAGTTTCGCGTGTACAAGATACATTGAAATCAAACATAAAACGCCTCTACTCAAATATTGTCAATTTGTACATTGGCGCTTATACATAGGCGCCATCGATTTATATGTACACATATATAATTTCTCAAACAATTGAATTCCATACACGCTATATATGCCATGTGTTTTCTATAAAACATATAGTATAATATGCATAAAGTAATCTCTATAAAAGTGAAACTATTTTATTTAGTTAAAAATAAACACTAAAAACACTAAAACACTATTAATATTTTCATTAAAAAAAAAAAAAACAAAACAACCAATTATTTAGTATAGAACGATCGTAAAATTGTTCTAGAATCAGCATTTTTAATCTGTATTTTTATCTATATTTTTTATTTCTATTAAATAAAATTATCTTCATCGCAGATAATGATTTTGTTGTATGAGAAAATGTCTTTTCGATATGACAAATCGTTTACGATTAATGTGCATAAGACTTAATTACAATATAAATCGGCTTAAAAATTTATAATTCTATACAAAATGCTTCATCATTACAATGATGGAAGACTAGTCTTTATATTCGTCAACTTTATATTTGTCTAGCCTTATATTGTTATAGATTCTCACGCGATAATTAAAATCGATCACTTAATTATCATCCGATGACAATTGGTGTTTTAATATTTTCAGACATAATATTAGTATTATATAGGTCAATTAGATAAATTCTTGTCTGGAACTGATTGTATTTTTCTATGCATACGTTTTGTTAAGTTGCGTTCTCTTTTGTACTGTGTAAATAGGTTTTCGACAAAAAAGTATTTATTACTTATTAAATTCATAACAGACGTTATAATTGTTATTTATTATATGCCATTAAAGGAATAATTGCTTAGTTTAAGATAGAAGTAGAGAAGATATTTTTTGTATTATTTTTAAATTTTAATGTTTTCGAAAATGGAATGACGAAAAACAAGAAATCGATAATTAAAAGTATTCATATCTGTATGCAATAAAGCAATCATTTTTTTTTTCATTTAAAAATATACCGTACATTTTAACTGACAGCGTCTTGTTCTCTTCTTTTTGAAATAACATTCGTCTGATCATACATCAATTATTTTTTTTATTCTGGCAACACATTCTTATTGCTATTCTCTGAATTCAGTCGGAGGATTTTACTTATTTTATTTTTCAAAGTTGCATCGCACTGTACATGTAATATTGACTGTAGTTTTTGGAGATCAGTAACCTTAAACCTGTACATTTTATTATTTCATACAATCTTACATATATATATTCGTGTCTAGACTAGGTAATTTGTGATATTGAATTTTTTAAATAACGTAAACAGACGTTTTTTCCATCAAAATCTTTGAAGTATATTTTTCTTTTTTCTTAATTAATGAATTATTTTCCTCAAGTATCATAAAAAAATCCAAGTATTTTATATAACCAATTCTCATTCGTAGACAATAACATTTTTCTGCAACGCAATATCAGGCAAAGGTATGCAACGATAATGCCAAAGTCTCAGATAATTCGATGGGATCATGTAATATGAAACCTCTTTAGTAATAAGTAATATTTTATGTACAGCTTCAAAACCCGATGGTGATCCACGTGTATCATCCGTACCGTCAGCCCGATGGTGTGAACTACTGCGCCGCCGTCAACGGTCACTGTTCCCACCTTTGTCTCCCAGCTCCTAAGATCGGTTCCAATTCTCCACGAGTCTCCTGCGCCTGCCCCAACGGCCTCCGATTACTTCCAGACAACCAGATGTGCGTCGAGGACAGTAAGTATTGTATTTCTTTTTTATTATAATAATACATACGTTTCTAGGTTTATTAGGACGCGTTCACATCAAACCAGCGTCTGTCGTCAAATAGAATTTTACTTTTAAATTTGTCATTCCAATTTTAAAAGTAAGCGTTTTTTTTATATAAATGTTAATTAAAATTAGATACTATAAAATCTAGACATATTTATTATGTAAGTCAGATAAAATAATTCTATAAGCCTCGTTTAATTTATCCCTTATTTATTGATAATATTTATTTTGTAGGTAATTTAAGGTGTTATATCTTATCTTTTTTGCGTCTTAAAAAATGGAGTTCATGTGTGTACTTTTCCATGTTATGTCTGTGAAGCGCTGTATACAAAATAAGCTACACGTAATGAATCATCTGACAAAGCTAATTGACGACCTTCCACTGTCGTTGTTTGATCACCGTGTTCGTCAACCGACCATGAAACCTTATTTTTATACGATATTTTCCATTCAAAATAGTATTTCTATAAAATCCTAACATCATTTACTAATAAAACAAAAGAAGAAAATTAGAAAAAAATCTATGATCTGTATGTAGAGATCCTGTTGTAAACAACGATCCAACAAATTAAACTGAAGCCGTCTGACGTATTGATGCTATACGGCAAATTGAACAATTGAACAAGGTTAATAAAAAGACACCCATTGTCGTTGGAATTCTTGTATTATTGAATCGCAATTAAAAATGTATGTCGTGATAGAATTTGATATTTAGTTCTATATATGTCTATTACACGTATAAATCAATATAATCTAAATCATAAATTAAAATAGTATGAATCTTTTATGGATAGATAAATTTTTTTTATAATTTCAAATCTTATAACTGGCCAGCTATCAAATTGTCGAAATGAGATTCAAATATGGAATACGAGTGTCGTTAGCGTAAAATGAAACCACGTCATTGCATTACGTTAAATGATCTGTTTCTAGATTACGTCATGTTTTAAATTTCAAACTCAATAATCAATGAGTCAGGATTAGAACATCATTTTTCGGTTTTAACACAGATTAAAATGTATGCATCATTCTGTTATAGGATTTTGTCCTTCTAAGGAGGAAATCTTTCGTATTTTACTACTTACTCAATACATTAACGATGTTTTGAGGGAATATTCTATCACACAAATTTGGCAGGAGTCGAAAAAGGTCGAAACCTTCGAAAGAAAATTTTATTTAGCGTATTTATTTTAAACATGTTCTTATTTGCGTTCATATAAAAAAAAATGTTATTATTTTTAAAAAATATAGTCGATTTTGTTGAAATGGTGCTAATTTACACGACGTTAAACTAAAACAACTAAAGTCTTGAGACTATAGCCGCGTGCCAAATAGATTTTTATGACAAAATTAAATATTGAATGAAAAAAGTTGTTTATGCGAGACACAAACAATATTTTGTTTTTGCAAAATTACATACCATAGGTTCAAATATTTATTCAGCCAAAAAAAAATTCCATAAAAAGCTAACATTTGCTAGCAACCATAAGCAAGCTGGTAATTTTATTAGACCATGCATAAATAAAAGCTGCATCAATTCTCAGAACCAGTATCTTATCTTGTTTTTGTTATACATTCATCATTTTTAATGTCGGTTAATACTGTACCTGTCAAGTTTATTATTAGTTCGTACATACCTGCATTTGTACGCCTTGTAAGGGAATAACGACGATGAAATTATTTAAAAACGGAGTTAACGAGAAACGTTCATAAAAATTATATTCAACACTGCAAAGTATAAGAATTTTCTAGAACATTCTTTTTAATACAGCCACTAACCAATCAAAAACATTTTTTTAATCATTTTTTTATGATCATACGCAATAAAAAAGGTTTTGTAAATAAAAATTAATTTAAAAAAATTCATCACAAAAAAGAATACGTAAGACGTAAATAAGGAACATGATTAAAAATTTATTATATATAATTTTTTTTTTATATATTGAAACGTGATTTTTGTTATACAATCATTATAACTATTCATACAATATTTACTTTATTAATACAAACAATATTTAATGACATGGTTTTTAATAGCATTGTAAATGTAAAAACAAACTGTATTTATTTAGTAATATGTTACTTTAGATTTTTTTATATTGAATTCACACTTTTAATGTGGTGGCCACATATATTTTATTATTAATAAATAAAAATATGTATAAATAATTTTAAACCTCAATATAAAATAATTCAAAGAATTTTTTAATGATTATGAATATTTCGGCGCTATAATACAATTTTGTTCAATATTTATAAATATAAAAAAAAAATACAATAAGACATCGAATTTCTACCACACCTATATCATTCTCAAAATTGAATTACGGTGTATCTTAATATGTCCTCAATATGCTAGGTACCTAAAGGTTTAGGTAATATAGGCTATATTTGGTAACATTACATTATTAGGTTATAAATGCCTATTTAATTAGTGGTACTTTTTATCATATTTCAATAATAAATGTCGTCATGTTAATTATATTTTGTATACCTACATCAATTAATTTTTTTATTCAATTTAAGAATAAAAACACAAGGATAGGAGGATTTATTTAAGTACTTAATTAGGTTTAAAAACAGCTAATTTCATGAACTACGACTCCAATTAGAAAAATCACTTTATTCTTAAGAAATTTACAAAACGAGAAGAGTATTAAGAAGATGGCTCTAAAATTATATATCTCGTATCTAAAATTTAATATCGTTTCGTATATGGCCTCTTTAAAATACTTCCGCCTTCAACAATTCTTCTTAAAATCTAAAGTTACCATAAAGAAATAATAAGATCAAATAGTTATTATTTGACTAAATTGTTTTTAATAAATATATAATACTACATCCCCAACATAACTAATATGTAGTTGTAGTTACTAGTTGATGTTGTAAGTCGTGATATTTTTGTTAAAAAATGTATAATACGGTATAAGTACACAGACGTCTTCAATTTTACAACTTATTAGAATACGCCGAAAACAATTTATATAATGGAAAACGCCTTAAAAAACATTAGTATACAATAAATATCCTAATCTAAAATTCATACATGATATTTACCGCAGCTGTTAAAAGAACGACACGTCATTGAATGACGCAAAATCGTACGATGTTTCGATTATAATTAAAAATGCGACGCGTCCTACCGAATATCGATATTCCGAAGAAACATTCGATCTATTTGTGATCACAGTATTTTTGTTATCGCCTCAAATACTACATCGTAAACGTTATCTTAATAGTAATTGTAAATTATTGATATTAATGTCAACAATTATCGTAATTGCAGTTGATATGAATTTATGAAGAGAGATATTATGAAACCGCTGTTTAATAAGCTATTGAGGGTTGAATCAATGGTATACTTAGAATTTTAATCAATGCAATATAAATTCCGAGCGATTAAAATTTAACTAATATTTAACAGTAATCAATTGATAAATAAACCATAGTTTATAAATTAATTAAAAATTAACTGATTCCTACTAGATAAATTCTAGTTATGTATTACAATAAGGCTCAATTTAGTGAATGAGGCGAAGTGACGTCACGACATCACGCCACCTTTTGTTAGTCAATCAGCACGCGATCCGGGTGTGCGCCTACTATAACGGTGGGCACGACCTCGAGTTTTAAAATTAGATAATTTGTTTAGGAACAGTGAATTAATTTTTCCTCTTTATACGAAAAATACAATATTGTGTTGTAGGTTTACGTAATTAATATTGAAATAGTTAGTGTTCTATGGTTTGCCATAAATGACCACTATATAGTTAAATATTTTGGTATTTAAAACTAAAAATATAAAATATATTGGAATATTGAAATAAAAAAATGAAAGTGAGTGCCGGATCGCGCTCAGTAAATGTAACCGACCGGCAATGCTCAGCCGAAGTAGGGGAACGTCATTTGAATGGCGCGCAGTCGGCGTGGAGTTTTGACTTGTCATTTCACTTCATTTCATGGCCGGCTGTGTACGTGTGGACGGAATTTAAGGCCGGCTAATGTTATTTAACAAAATTGTGCTGTTTTGTGTGTAAACATATCAAAGGTTTATTTCGAATTATAAAATTTCAAGAAATTTCATGAAGGTCTTTAAATAAATCTACAGATTCAGTAAGACCTGATGTGGAGGTGCATAAACCAAGTAATGATTCAAAGAAACTTAATATAATTGAGGAAAATTCTAAGCCAAGTGAGTATTATAAAAAACTATAAATTTTTGTCATATCCTGTCCTAACTACCCTGCATTTGTATCGGTAAGGGTCAAATTTGTGGCATGCGAGGTCAAGTAACGATGTATTGGCATTAATTAATGCAGCGAGCAACTAAATATCTAGTAAGCAAATTTTAAATTTTTAGTATAAAGTCATGCCTAAAATTTGAATTCCCTAATGCTTAAACTAAATGGGTTGAATCATTTCCATTACATCAGATAAGATAAAGATTAAACATAGCTATATAATCGGGTGATCAGTAAACTGAGCCATAGTATCTCATCGCTGTCTACTAACATAACATTGTGAATGTCAAAATATATATCTGTGTGTCTTCAATATGGGATTCATTGACTGATTCGCAGGGCATGCAAAACTCCTAATTTGCAAAGTGATGAATATTTATTTGAAAGTCGATAATTAAGGAAAGGGCCAACACATATGGTTAATTTTAGAAGAGAAGGGCTAGGCCTTCTCTTTAAGCTGGGGCGTGCTCTCGCTAACTCGGAAGACGCTCCGGAGGAACCCGAACAAACAAAACCCACGGTCGATCCTGAAGCTGAGCCAATGAAGGCTTACTGGGAGAGCGATAAAGAGGAACTGGAAAACAAACACCAACCGTTCATAGATCTTTTCCTCAAAGACGCGGCTCTTGACAGGATACCGGACACTACGGAAAAACCAATCCAAGAATCTCATTACAGTTACGAAAGATTGAGTCTTGTTTATTTGCCTGACGCTCTCAAAAACTTTAATGTTAAGGGTAATGTATTATTATTATAATTTGATTTATATAGAATGTTAGGAAGACACACAGATTCGGGCGCATGCACTAGTTTATGTGAACATTATAACATGAAATTGTGTTCTAAGCTAATAATATATCGAATAACATTTCATTATTCGACACTTAGAGTAAGCTAATAGAAATTCAATACCGAGAAATACGGTATTGTTTACATTTAAACTATCAAGGAGGTTGTAACTAATCTTATACAAAAAAATAAGCATAATTAAAACTAACGCTTCATACTGTTAATAAAAAATGTACATTCATTCTAGGTTAAGATATTTCTGTTAAACATTTGGCACGTTACTATGACGTCTGTAAATAGCTTTATGTTGCGGCTGACTGAGACTTAAAAAAATATTCTTGTACAGTAACATTAATATTATTCTCATTACAGATAACCGAATATATTAATAATATATATAATAATATTATTTGTCTTGTTTGTATGTTATAGTCATGTCTCCATACTCGCCAAAAACGCTTGCTACGGTGACGGGTGCACAAATAACATTTTAAAAACAACAATTTAATTTATATTTTTCTTTGTCATCCAAACGTATTAATATGTACGTAAATTACACTAATAAAATACTAAATTTCTTTTTTAAATGTATACATTAAAATTATTTACATACATATAAGCTTAATTGCTAAGAATTTATAAGCTAATCGATTCGATAATACGTTATGGAGGTCAAAGAAGAGACATTTGTTTTTTTATTCGTATGTTCATAATTGATGTTTGTTTGCAGGTGTGCCTGAAACTCCTAAAGTAGGTTCTGGAATCTCAAACGGCGGTCGGGACGCGAGCGTGGTGGCCGGCATCGTTGTATCTGTAATCTCAGGAATAATTATACTAGCTGCTTTGGTGAGTATATAAATTATATATACAATAATTACAAATTGGATTTTTAAAAAATAGGTATCTTTTTTTAAATTAAATACATCATTAACGGCCTATAATAAATTAAACAGAATTATAGTTATTATTTTAGTATAGTAAAAATATCTTTCCTGGTAATATTATATTTTATTACAGTATCATAAAAGCAATAAATATTTTAACATTTAGACCTGGACCTTTATAGTATATTATAATTTTATTGAGGTTAAAATGTAAACATTAAATGAATAGTGAGAGTTACAGGTGACATTAAAAATATTCAAAACTCGTACCAAGCGTTGCATTCACCGATTGTCCTTGCGATAGTGAATCGAACGATCATGAGCATTCAAAATTATTTATGTATATTACGAAAACTAAGAATGAATGAAAATTGCGAAACAGACATACCGTAATATATTTATTTATTTTTATCATATCTGTTATAAAAATTTGCAATTAATATTTTATCTTTACACAAACGAATTCATCAAACGTTTAATCAGGAAGTTAAGATAAAATCTTATGATAGATTATATTATCTTTTCTTTAATTAAAAACGCGGAAGTTAATTCATAGAATAAAATATTTCACAACACATTTATATAATCCAGATGTTAACAGATTTCATATTTTCTTTCCCAGATCGCGGTTGTGATGTACCGGCATTACGTCCATCGTAATGTCACATCAATGAACTTCGACAATCCGGTCTACCGCAAAACGACTGAGAATCAATTCTCATTGGAACAAAATGGCTACGCTCCGGGCGGCAAATTGTATCCCAGCACCGTCGGCGAAGAGGTGAGGGCGCTAGTTGCTATGGAATGTACTCTCAACATACAGAACAGTCTCAGATAATCTGTTATAAACTGTAGTTTAAGCTCAACTTTGTTTAATCTACGCTCGATAAACAATATTTTAACAATTTTACATTATACAACCCCCTCCTTGAAATCTATGCCGTTAATGTAAATAGTAAAAAAAAAAATATTTATGTAGTCGAAATGGATATAAGGTCTGCCTAAGACATTTTAAATTTGATGTATCTAGTCTAAATATACTTATTAGGAATTATTTAAGGAATTTATAGATGATATTTTTTTCGTTAGTTTAAGAAATGGCTATAAATTGTGCCAACATTTTTACCACATCAGTATTAAAAATAGTTGCCAAAATATGGTATAAATGGTAGGTGTCGTGTAAATAGTATAGCGAATGCTCCATTATTGCTGGAGAATTTATGTATTATTAGACGAAATTTTGTTGTTTTACTGCTGAGATATTTATTTTTCATGCGTTTACATACGAGGGCTATAAAAATATCGGTAAGTGTTATCAATTAGAAACTGTAATTCATTCTATGTAGATGACATTATCTTAGATAAAACAAAGTATAGCCATCAATCTTCATAAAAGATTGATGTCAATATATAAATTCTGGTTTTATCATTTGTTTAATAGAAACTTTTTGTTTACAGGCCCAGGAACCACTCAATACACCTGGTACAAATGACTTTGTATAGTGTACGAGCTGGCAGTAAATATAATTGTATGTCATTAAATGTTAAAAGAAAAAGGAGGAAATGTGATAATTTAAAGTGTAAACCAGTGTTAATCAGCTAACATTATGTAGTGAATTGATAGCATAGTGCAGTGAGTCGTGGAGCGCATTGGAACAAAGTTCTGTTTGCTATCAAACATATTCAATTTGTTGAGGATCTCAAAATTATAACCCAATTGTCACATGATTGAATCTTTTCTAACACGATATGTTTGAATGCAATATCAGTTTTTCTCTCACCGATGTAATTACATGTTAAAATGTGGTCAACATATCGCATACTAAATATGGTCTGATCTTTTAATATTTCTGAATGATTTTTCTTCTTCGATTTCTATAGTGTGAATAATTTTTAATATGTAATTGTATTGGATGTGTGCTTATGCCTGGTGCATTGTAATTTAATGTTATATTTTTTTATATATTACTTTTTACTTTAAGTTATATGAAATTGTATAAAAAATTGCTTCACGTTGAAATTTTCACTGATATCTAAAATCATAATATACTCAAATGAAATATGAATGTTACTATTTTTCTTTTATATATTAAATATTATAGAAATATTAATTTATTGGAATTATGAATGTTTTATGAAATGTATGTTGCATAGAGTAGTTAGGATATTTACATTGCTGTATTTGTGCCAATTTTTTAGTGAATCCATTCGCCAAAATATACTAAAATTTTATCCTAATTAAATTATATTGTAAATTAAAATCATTTGATAGTTTATTTAAATGTATATTTATATTGTTATACATTTAACAGTTTTAATGATTCATTATATATTTTATAAATATTGTGTTAACTTTAATAATTTTTCCAAAAAATGTCAAATTAGGTCTGTATTTGGATATTAATTAAAGCAAATTCCTGCCAAAAACCCTCTAAATCTATCTTAGAATGTAATAAACATTTGTAATGTAATTCAATTACACAATGCACATTTCATATATGCCTAGCTCAATAAGTGTGGTCACTATAAATATTGTGTAAATATTGTCAGTAAAATATTATGTAAACATGTTTTCTTTATTTTACCTTCCTGCTACACAAATAAAACAACTATAATACTCATTGTCATTTAGCGCATCAGGCACTAAATAGAGTAGTATGCCAAAAACGGCTTACCAACATTTTTTCAGTTAATTGGTACCACAATTGTACGAGGAACAGTTTCCGACTTGTTTTTCAATGTTCAGCGTCACTTTCAATAAAGTCCTACCAAATCGCTGAAGCGAGTATTTGTAATGTCCAATACAGGTTGATATTTATTATTATAATTATAGTTATAAAAATAATTCACACGGATGGTACAGCTTATACTGCTAACAAAATACTGTTTGAAGTTAATGGGATACGTCTAAATGTGTTTTAAATTATACTATGGTATGTGTACTACGAAACAGACATCTTTATTCTTTATTCATTCCATTCTTTATTCCATTTTGCCTCCTGGTAAGCAAAAGGTCAAAGTAAAACAATTGCAACGCTTAACATGTCTACGAATATTATGTAAATGGCAATCGTAGGCTGTCAGCTTATCGGTAATTTTGAATCGCAAAACTTTTAACGAATTCTATTTATAGAATAGTTGAAACAAATGGTTAGCGTCCCTGTCGCGAAGTTTTTCTGTAACTCGACACATAGAGTTTCAGATACCATACAAAAGGTAACCCTTTTTACATATGATTAAGTTTCACTAAAAGAGGGAAAGTTGTGGATGCACCCGTATGCATTGCACATCCTGTCCATTGCCATCCCTAGGTAATGACACCTCTGTTTAGAGCTCGTAATTGCTTAAGAGAGAGAAAGAGAGTAGTACTTTATTGATTAAGTATCACCAGAATAAGATACTGACAGCTACACTATTAATACTAGAGATATAAATGATCTTGTGAACTAGTTTTCCATTTCTATGATATTCCAGTGGGGGAGTCGCAAAAAAATGTTTTATTGAGTAGGACAGTGGCGGCCGCCGGGGTGGTGTTATATATCGATAGTGTATGACACGTCCACGAATTAAACTTCTTGTACATATGATTATAATAGTCAAATGTAAATGAAACTTTATTTTAATTATTAAAATGTAATAGCTTTATTTATATTTGATTGAAAAATCAGTCATATTAAACATAAAGATCTAAATTGAAAATGTACAAACTTTTGGCATCATCTACGAGCTCTAGAATTTTTGATTCCGTACTTAGTTAGTTTGTTTGGCACATAAACACGGAAAGAGTACCGTCCTTTAAACGCTTATAGTATCTCATCAATTGTCATGTATTCATGTGGTATTTACATAACACACGCTTCTTGGCAGTATGAAACAAATTGGTCTAAATTCTAATATGAGCCATATTTTCGTTTTTTTTCGATCATCCCTTAAAGACTTTTAGACTTTGCCGGCTCGATTTGTTCAGACTAGCCATGCACAATAAATGCATCAAGTTTGGTAAGTAGATGTTGTTTCTTTCATGTAATATAAGGTTTTAGCTTCTTTGAAACTTGACTGTCGTCTCAAGATCCACCACTCTCAAAATTTACTTACTATTTGCATCAATATTTGTCAAAATGTTAAAAAAACCAAAATAAAATATAACAAATGTTATTATTGAATGCACACCTAAACTTTACATCGGGGTATCATTTACCCCATGCACGTATGAACACGTGTGTTGCGAGCACCCCCTGACACCACAAAGCGATAACGCTACGGATCTCCCCCGCATTACCTTAGACAGTTATTCGAAACCGCAACCACGTAACCTATAGCAATAAAAAAGAACGATAGTAAAAAGAATTGACGGGGTACGCTACATCCCGCCGGGTTAAGTCCATTATGGATATATCCATTATAATCAGTTCTTATACACTTGATAATTTGAAATTGAATGAAATATCATAGAACTTCCACGTAATCTATTAGAGACTAAACTTATTGTAAAATAAAATAATGTTAGAAAATGTACCTAGGTATTAAAAAAGAAATATACGTGGCATTCATTTAACTTTTTCACAAAGTTGCATAGCACTTCAAAAAAGATTGTTTCGGTTAACGCAGTCGGTAACTTGCCCATTCAAGAGTGATTAATACATTATTTATTAAATATAACCAATTAATGTATATACACGGACATAAGTATGTTACGTAAATAAAAATGCACATTTAATTTTATTTTTAATCAAACGCTTTCAACAAATAATCTTATATTAAGAAAAGATTAAAAATTACAATATTTTTCTAAAACAGTGACGCGGAATGTTGAGCACATTAATTACCTATATTAAAAAAGTTATATGTAAATGTCATAACATTTATGTATTAGATATTTACTAGTCTGTTTATGAAAGTAACGACAATCAGGTACCAATTTTTTAAAATATTGAAAAGGCATTTAATTTCAACGTCCACTAATGTTTACACTCTACTGAATAGCAAGTTAGCAATAATTTTTGTACTTTGACAAATATCTGATAAATACATAAATACTTTTTTAAACATATGCAATACATAGCTACATATTTTCCTAAGTGCCAATTTAATTTATCAATACTTGAAGAGCGAACATTACTCATAGCTTACAATATTTATTAGTATAGTCCAAGTTTGATTCGTCATACTACTTTAACGAAGCGTTTCGGGTCTCATTCAATACACTACAATCTGTTAAGATAACAACTGGATACGTTCCGTATGTACTGTGACTGTAAACTTAGAGTACACATTCTTATTATGTCATTAGCTACATAATCTTTTTGGTAGTAGTTATACAAGGTACAACACATTCACAATATTGAACTATATTGTACATTTATATCATTTATGTTAATGAATGAAACTTAAGTTCCAGAAATTTGAATTGCTTTATTGAAAATCAATATCAAATGGAGTTTAGAACAACTGTTTAGGTAAGACATAAACTGAACCTCTTGTAACTTTCTTAAATTTGCTCAATCTTCAGATTTTAGATGGTAACAATTTAGAGCTTATTTATTACATACACATTGTTATAATCTCATACAGATTTCATGAACACTTTTTTCAGAACCATCTGCATGATGTACACACAAATATAAGTATTCAACATCATACTCTATTTGTAAAGTTGGTAATCAAACCCAAGAATTATCATTCCAAAGCCAAATTTAGTAGTCATATAGCAAATTTACTAATTAATTATTCCTATATTTCCCAATTCAATAGTCATTATAACTTGGATATGGGAATATTATGCACATTATAAATTTATAAAAAATTGTCTAAAGCACACAATGAATATAAAAATTTTGCTACTTTCAGTTATCACACAGCACACATATGTATCAAGACATAGTAAAAGTATTAATAAGTAGTTTGAATGTGTTTAATAAAATTCACAAAACTTTTTACTGACAAAAAAATATTGAATGAAATAAAATTTAGCAGATTTATTTAAAATAATGATATAATTATGAAAATTATTGTCTTGCTGACTGAACATTATTTGTTTGAAACTTAAAATTTAGTACACATAAAAAAGTAAAATTTATCTCACTAATTATATGAACATAAAAAAATGGTTCATAATTTCAGAAACTATTAGTATCAGTGATTAGTATTGAACAGATTTATCCTAAATTATGTTTTGTATTACAACACTATATAAATCTCCCAAAAGGAAATCACAAACTTATAAAAAGCTTGCTTTTCATAATTTTATGTTGTATTTGGTTTTTCTATTTTATTGTAATGTATACATATTTTATGCACAACAATTATAAATATATTTGGCTTACTTTCTCTCACTATGAAATCGCATTTCAAGTAAACTTGAACATCACATGTTTGGTTATTTATTTGAAAGAATTTAAATAAACAAGGAATGGAATTATCGCATTGTCTTAAGGGTACAAGCTAACTAATACTAATAAAATGGAAAATAAATTCAAAAATGACAGAAATGTTAATGATTCTACTTAATTACTATTTACATCTACTTTTTTCTTCTTATTTATATGTACATTATTTTTCTCCGGTGTATTCATTGAGCCCTTATATCGATATTTTGGTAATTCTTTCAACATGTCACACTGTTTTGTGATATGGTTCTTGTATATGTTGAATGTTCCTGCATTGATGTGTTCACGAGCATGTATAAACATCTGGTCAAAGTGGTGGAGATTGTGACTGAAAAATAATATAAATAATAAATAAATAAACATAAATAATATATTTAATAATGATTTGGAGATTGTGTTGAATATTATAAGTTATTTCATTATTTAAGAAGGATTTGTTTCTTTTGAGTACAAGTAATATGAATAATATTAATATTTACACATCACAGTTTTTATGTTATTGAATACAAAACATAATATTTAAAAGTTTTAATACTATAGATGAAATATCTTTTGTTTTACTGTAATCACTTATGTTAAATATACAGGGTGACTGGTGAATTACTATCGATACTTGAGGACGTGATATTTGACGATCATATATGACAAAATAAAAATTAATACAACATAAATATTAATAAACTTCTAAGTAAAGTTAACCAAAAGTTATGTAATTAATTACGCATCGTGTGAACACCCTACAGATTAGGTATACACACACACGCGCGTGCGGCGGCGTGGTGTTGTATCAGCACGCCGCCGCATGCGTCCACACTTGGAACACTTGGAACGTGTCCACACTTTATTTATTTATACGGAAATTTGGTCAAAAATTAAGTACCTATTTTTTTTACATAATTCGAATGAAAATCATGTACCGAGTATTCTCCTTAAATATTGTTAATTGGTACATTGTTCTTGTCAATGAAAGTATGTATTATGTAGGAATATATGACAACTTTTTAAAAACAGGTGTGAATTAACTTCAACAAACATTTCTATTTCACACATTTGAAATGTTAAAAACTTGAAAAATGTCCTTAATGCATAAAAATTATGCAAACCATTTTTATAAATGAGCATTTTGTTACTTGAAATTAGCTGTTTAAGTTATTTTTTTCAAAATGTGTTTATTTTGAAATATTGCAGACAAATAAAGTGAAGATTTGTTTTGTCATCAAATTAAAATAATATAACAAGAAACAGAATAAATACATCAGTTTTTGTTTGATAAAAATGAATATACTAAAGCAAAAAATTAGATGGATCCCTTTCGCTTGACATATTTGTAAGTCTTAGACAAATATCTAAGAAGTTTTTTGAGAAAGTATTATTTATTAAAAAATGGGATATCTGTTGATATGACAAATCTTTGTCCTTGTAAAAAAAGTAAAAAATTCCATGGAATTCTATTTTAAACAATGGTGAAAACAAATCTTTTGATCTAATTTGTTTATAACATGTGTATGCATATATTTCTGTAAATGTGAAAAATCAAACCTACATGCTCAATAACACGGAAGCCAACATTTCCCTTGTGTTCAACAAATGTCTTATGTAGGCCCGCGTGTGCTTCTTGCAAGTCAAACATTCACAACCTTCAAGGATGGGACTGAAGTCTTCTTTGTACCTGCAAAATTAAATATATTAAAGGGGCGAATATACGATAGCAAAATTCTTGAAAATTTAAAGAATTTCTATCGATACGAGAAAATACTTTGAGCAAAGATGTTGTAAAGAAAAAATTGCAAAAGATAAAAATATTAATATTTTTATCATATCATTTAATTTTTAGTTTGTGACTTAATTTCGTGTTATAAAAATCAAAATACTATAGTGATGGATATATATGAAAATAAAACAAAATCCCCGAGGATATTAATGCGTCGGCCTCCAAACAAATTTGTGATGGTAAAGCGGTTTTACGGTTCCTTGGGAAACCAACATCCCCAAATAATAGCAACAAGGGCAATAAATATTACGAGCTCACAAACAAACTCACTCGAAATAGGTTCATCGTGGATTTGTACGCGGTAGAAGTGGGAGCGAGAGGTATAACAGCTAAAACTCTCTATAAACTAGTTGAAGACTTGGGCCTGTCCAAGACTCGTATTAATTCATTCTCGGAACGTACATCGAAGGCAGCACAGTAGGTTCTTTTCAAAATTGGTTCGGTAGAGAGAGGAGCTTGGACGGTGGAGATGAGCGTTTAACGCGCGTTAGATAGGGTCCTTAAACCTACACTTGGGTCGCCGGTACCAGGCAATGTTAAAGCTCTTATTCCTGCAACGCGATGGACTCGGCACCCGCACGGTGAATCCATTGAATGCTAAGAGATTTCGTCTCTTATATATAATATTATTTTAATATGTAAATTAAACTCACCGTTCATCAACCATATCCAATAAGTATGGGGTTTCATTCTCTTTGGTAACATCAAAGCTAAGTTTCAAGGCGATTCCCATATTTGTTAGTTTAACTGCATAAGTTCCATCGAAAATGTCCCAGCCATGTTCAATGGCTGATAATGTCATTGCAGGATTCCAACATCCTTCTAGAATACGGAACAATTCTTTGGGAAGAGCACCCTGAAATAAGAAATTTATAGAAATTATATTAAATGTGTACCTTATGTATCTATCAATAGAGAAGTTATTGTCTCTATGATGAAATTTACATTCTAGTTAATATAAGACAGTTTGAAATCAAATATTTCAATACGGTTCAGTTAAAACAAAGTAAAAATGTGAAATGAATTTAAGTAAATTATTATCATATCTAGATTTTTTCAGTGCATCTACCTATTAGTAATTAGACAGTAAGTGTATATGTATAAGTTTTGCTATACAAATTTACTAAGTTACAATAAAAATATCTCTGTACTTATATTGAATTATGTTTTATGGTTATAGTATGATGAAAAAATATCACTTTATATATTCAAGAGTATGGAAATATCAAAACTAAAGAGTATAGTTTATTTCATAAAAACTTAGTGTTTCAGTATAATGCAATATGTGGCTAACATTTATTTTGTACTCGTAAACCCAGCGAACTCCGTTCCGCCACCAATAGGCTTTGTTTTATGTAACATTTCGTTTGGTGATTAAAAGATGAAGAATTTTTTTTGTTTTAATTTGAAAAGGAAAATTTTTATTTCATTTCACAACAGTTATGAATTCATTTCGATTACAAAAATGAAGTGTTATTTAGTTGAACTTCTCTAAGTAAACGAAAGTGAATCCAAAGTAGATACCGAATCGAAGCGTTATACGTGTCCGCAAATTATCCGTTTCATTGAAGTGCTCCTTTGTAAACCACAATTTTTGTTTTTTGGTCTAACGTTAACACAAATGAAGGGGATGGTCTCCCCAACTCGTGAACACGCAAAATATAACTGCCCATTTGAAAAACAATGATTTTCTAAATTTATCCTGCAAATACTAAATAGTTTTAAGAGTTTAAATTACAAACACAATACCGGTTTGTCACATGAAATTAACCAATAAATAGCTTTCAGACAATGTATCATGCACCGGCACCATCTACTTAAAATATTGATTTGTAGTACATGTTATGTATCAGAGATGGCAATGTATGTGACATTTGCAATGGAATGTATGTGACATTTGTGATTTTCCCGTTTTTCTGTTGAAATTTTTCCTGATTTTTTTTTGTTATAAACCTTGGAGCCCGAAACCTTTCCAACGAACGCAAAACCGTGGAAATCGGTTCGTTCGTTCTGGAGTTATAGCATCAGGAAGGAAAACCGGACTTATTTTTATATAGTAAGAAGAAGATTTCTTATAAATATCAAATTGTCATCCATTCGTCATTTCATTCATATCAATTGCGTTTTGTTATTCCAAGTCTGATTCTTTTTTGTTATACCACATTTTATAGTGACTGACGTTTCATGTCAAGTCACACAGGAATACTGTCGAATGAGATAAAAAGTATGCTATGTCCTTTCCCTGGCTCTAAACTACCTCCCTGCCAATTTTCAGCTAAATCGGTTCAGCCATTCTTGAGTTATAAGTGGAGTAACTAACACGACTTTCTTTTATATATATAGATTTCTAATTCAGATCTACAAAATACTTACACCAATTTTCTTAAATATATCACAGTATTGGTTGGTGTCTTCTTTTAGCAAATCAGTTCCGTCTGTGATTCCTTCAAGAGCTACGCCAGATATACAATCTACATGTTTCAAAATATTTTCTATACATTCATCACATTTCTTTTGGTTTTGTGCCCCGACTACAACACCTGGAAGTTGAAAAAATAACAATTAATAAATAAGTATTGATACATATTTATTTATGTTTTGTTCAAATCATTTAGCCGATTTATTGATCAGTTTAAAAATTATTTTTACTATCTACGTAAACTTTATTCATTAAATTTCATCTACAGAATAATCCATCTGGAAATTCATGTGTGATCATAATTAAGTAGTTTTTGAAAAAATAAATTTGTATAGTTCTTTACAATACACACTATAATATATTAATTTTATTTAATTATCATATTAGGTTTGATTGTTTTTAATTTTTTTTAACTTAAAGAATTTTTATATTTATTAATTAAAAAATTGCCAAATAATACCTAAAAATATAAGTAACTTTTTCGGTATTATTATAATATTAACTAAAAAACATTTCAGTTATTTCATTTTTATTACAGTTTGGTTTTATTCTTTCTTTTCCTTTACTTTTATTTTAACTTAGCTTACAAAGCCACTTTTTCATGAAACACTTAAAAGAATTTATTGCATTCTATGTATGCAAATATCAGAAGTTTAATTGGAGTTTGGAAGTATAAGTATTCAACTTAAAATTGGATTCCTGTATGAAGAGTTATATTAAATTAGTTTGTGTACCTTTGTAACTTTTCTTTGGTACTCTTTAATTTCTATAGAAATAACACATATACTTATACAGTCAAAACCGTTTATAACGACATCGTTTACAACGACCTATCGGTTATTACAGCCAGATTGTATGATCCCGTCCGAATTGCTAGTAAACTATTCAGTATACAAACCGCTTATAACAACATCGGATACAGCGACATATCGCTTAGAACGACGAAAATTTATCGATATTAATCGACTTTAACGACCAACTGCTCCTTGTCCTTACCCAGTTGCAAAGATCTACTGCTTTAGAACAAAGAATTGAGATAGAGGAATTTATTGGAATAGATAACAGTGTCGCGTTAGCGCCTTAGCTACTGAGGAAGAGATTCTTGTAGAAGCTAAAAGTAACAACCCTAACACTAACGAACAACATGGAGACCAACAAGACCTTGAAGAATAGTTTCAGCCAACAATAATTTCCGAGGCTCTTAATGATGTAACAGTTTTGCAAAAAAAAATTGCCTTTAGCGAACACTTTGATATTGATGATACTCATACCATGAGTATGAAACGTAAAATGCTAAAAATATTTGAGACTGTGCTAAAAAAAATAATTCTAAAATGACTGATTACTTTAAAAACTAGTGTAGTTTTTTATAACCCGTAACTGTAAGCAGCCAAGTACATACATTTTGTATTCTAATTATTTCGTAATAAATATTTTTATTTCTTTTCTGAATCGTTTACATAACCTATATCTATACTAGATAGATATGTGACTGCATATGACAATATGTATAACTACTGTAGTTGTGTATATGACTATTGCTTATAACGACTATCGGATATAACGTCGGATACATACAGTCCCTTCAATGTCGTTATAAACGGTTTTGACTGTATATATATATATAATATACATATATATAAATTTATATAACATTTAAAAACATTAAAGTTAAAGATATTCAATATTGATTGATTCTTATTGATAACCCTTTAAAGTGTTACACTATCTATCATAGACCTTATTTATAAGATATATAACATAAGTGTAACTAAGATAATATTAATATATTAAGATAAACTTTAAAAGAAGCAGATTTTCCAAAAATAAATTTTATTTCAATATATTCACAGTACAATACTAACATGTAATACTCACCCACCAGGGCACTATTCTTCAATTCCTTAGATGCTTTATATCTATCCACACATGTGTTGAGTAACTTGCAGGTACGATCGACGGCCTTACTCAGCCTCTTTGGTGTTTCATTGACAGACATGCAGCCATCTGCAATCGCCAAAAACATATCTGGTCTGAATATTTCCATTATATCCATATATCTGTAAATATGTGATGCCAATTACCTCATTGATATTTCAGTAGTCCTATATAGTATGAATTTTATATGATAGGACCATACTTGTCAGCGGTGGTCATTCTCTTTCCATGTTTAGTCCATAAAGGAATTTTACCAGGCTCAAAATGACCAGGCGGTACAATCTCAGAGAAATTATTAACTGTTACACAGGCTACATGTTCAGGAAGGCCAGCGAACTTTGTCACACCTTCATTCTGGGCCTTGACACCTGTTTCTAATTGAATTGAATTTGTTAGAGGCATGACAAGTATTTGTGGATTAGTGAAAACACGAGCGAGTACATCAGCTGTTAAATGTACAATGCTTCCACCCTGAAAGTAATAAAACATTGTTTATGCTCAGGAAATATGAAATGAAATTCATCATATATTTAAGTCGACACATCGAATTAAAATACTGTACTTTAATAACTGCCTTAAAATTTTAATACTGTAAACATTTTTGTCAGACATGAAGTTGAATTTAGCTTAAGTTTAAAAGTGCTATTTTACTGACAAATATAAAGTATTAGGTATACATTATACATAGAAAGGGTAATTCTAACAAAATCCGTCGATAGCCACGTGACTTGAATTTGTGAATTTGATATAAAAATTAGAGATATTTAGCATTAAATATACGAGACATTGATAAAATATACCTGAGTAAACAATCCAGACGTAGGAGTTTCTATTACGACATTAGGGCACTTCACAAAACCAGTTAGGTTACCAATGCGTTCACTACCGTAACCCGCTTTTGTTACTATAAATCGCATTTTGATTAGATAAAAAGAGTAATTAAAATAAAATTTTATGTAAACGTAGGATTTCCTAATTGAAAAATTAGAAATGTGTAGAGTACTGTGTTTTATGAAACCAGGCGGCAATTGTGTTCAAAATATTTGGATTTTAGGATGTCAGTTGTCAAACAATATCTTACCTAGATTATTAAAAATGTTAGATCATAATTTGAACTGTCTATGGCACAGATGATATAAGCACATATTAAAGTGGTTCTAAAATAATTCGTTGGTACTATTCGTCCAACAAATATAAACGTTAATATCTCCAAAAAGCTGTAGCACAAAAATTATTAAAACTTTGGACACTCATTATTAATACAAAAAATTATAATAACTAGGGATAGCTCATAACAATATCGTGATATTTTCAATAGTCTTGCACATATAAATGTTGTATGGTTTAGTAATTCAGGTGGCTAATTTCACGATTTAGGTAATTTTGGCTCCGGAAGGAAAAATGATATTTTTAAGAAATATTTCCTTGATATCAATTTGTGCAATAAACCTATTAAACGGGAAAAAAATATATAAAAAAAGAGTTAGAAGATTAAATACCAACATTCTTCGTTTATAACAAAAGTAGCGATTAATTAATAACACATAATTATGAATTAGTTTAGTTTAGAATCTGAGCTGTAATCGAATCAATGCTTATAATAAACGATATAAGTTTATAGATTAACACGATTTTATTGTGACCATGTCCGTTGAAATAGTCCAAGAAGTAAGAAAGCATATAGTAATAAATAAATTGAAAACTAAGGGTATTTATCACATTCCACATAAAAAACTACATAATAATGAGGTTTCAAAAACTTTAATAAATTTAAAGTTATTTAAAATCGTTGAAATAGTAAAAGTAGTTTTTTTCGTCTAACAGAAAAAAATAATTTCATTAACAATATTCAATACTTTAATTTGTTCATACTACATTGACTTATTTTTTTAAAACAATTTATTTTTGAAACAATTATTATAAAATACAGGTGTATTTTTATTAACTTCAATATTTATGGATAGATTTTAAATTTATAAATGGGGGTAGACAAAAAAAGATGTCAATTTTTGTCGAAATAATTTTCCAGGCATCAGAAGCCATTGCACATTAAGCCTGACGAATTTTAGTAGCGTCCAACTAGAGAAAAATTTAAAAGCTGAATATCATTTCCAATTTATAATTCGAATAATTACAAATCCCATAATGGAGAATTATAGTGATTCAGATACAGAATCAGATTTTTCTGAATCCGAAACCGAAAATGAGTACGATCTCTGTTGCCAGCGTGGATCTGGGACATGTGCTTTGCCGTTCGATCCCACATCGATTGAAAATATTATTTTATCTATTAGCGACCAATTCAACTTTCGCGTACTTCTCAATGATAGCAGAGTAAAAAGTGCGATTGCTATAACTACGGGATTGACTCTGGCTGGAAGTTTAATCGGAAAACATTATGGAGGAAAAGTTGGAGCAGCTGTTGGTGGAGCGGTTGGTGGTGTGTGCGGGCTTGGAATTATTGGTGAGAATAAATGGATTTTTTAAATTTTGCTGCAATAAAATACATTGGAAATTCAAAAATTTAGTTGTTCTTGGTATCATGGATTAATAATTCGTAATTAGACTATTATTTTCGATTACATTTAATTTAAACTTTTTTTTAGCTGTTTCAATGCGGGATATTTGGCAGGATATAAAAGGAAAATTGTCAGAATTGTTCGATATCGTGTACGATTACCTGGCCGGTCTGGGAATCAACGATTACAAAATGGCCGCCAAGTTCTTGATGCAAAACAGTTGGGACAGCAGACAGCTTGCCGGAATCGTTTTACAAGTTTCGTCAGATATACTTGGGAAGAAAATTTTATCAAGCCTTAATGCGGCGATATAATTGAATTTAAACATACTTTTTGAAAGACTGAATTTATGACTTACGACTTTGAGACGTATTGTATTTTTACTTGTGACGAATTGTTATTTGAATAAGAACTTTATTAGGCGCCTAATATGAATAGATAGTTTATTTTAGCGTAAGGTTTTAATGTTTGCTAATTTATTGCGTCATGATATTATTTTAATTTTGTAATGTATTTTTTAAGTTTTTTTCTTTATCCATTTCGTTTGTTTTCTCTTTCAATTATCTAAATTCTCTTCTTACTATATTCGACACTTTATTCATTGTGTTTATTGTAATAATTTATGTTTCAAGATAGTGTTAATTAGCTGGTATCTAATTAAGAATAAAGTTTTATTAGAATAAATTTATTAATAAATATTTTTATTCTTTTTTTTTACTATGTGGGTAGAAATTTTTCGAGGTTTCGAATTATTTTATATTAAAAATTATAATCGCAATGCTGCAAATTATCTCAACATTTTCGAAGTTGTAGCTCAAAATTTAATTATTATTTTTTCAAATTTATATACATGGTTTTTACTTTGCCAACCGGCGGGATGGATTTAAAATGACCTGTACCCAATTTTGCCTTCCTTTGATGTTAGATTTACTACCTTCAAAAGCTGAAATTATATTCTAAAGCAGATCTCAATTAACTACTTATGTACTTTATGCAAATTCTTTGAACAGCGTATAAATTATTACACAATATGTTAGTATTATAATAGATTTGATTAAGAATAATGTTCTTAGTTATCAATTAAGTAGATGTTAAAGGTGTCTTATGTTATTGCTTTATGTGTATTATAATAAATATGTGATATTACCGAATTATCTTAACAATTATGTCTATTTAAAAGCCAAATCTCAAACTTCATCGTCTAAATGTCAAAGAACAAAAATATTTTTTTTCACTGTGAAATATAATGCCGTAATTAATACTTTTCCCCTTATTATACTGGGGAATAGATTTTAAATTTTATGTTGCGTTAACAATTAATTAGTGCAATAGCATCTTACCCTTTCAAAAGGGTTATTCACCCTTCAAGTTTTATTGTACCAGTGAATGTTGCCCGACATAATAAAGCTGTATTAAGTTTATTTACATTATGCTAAAGTAAATTATATTGTGTATTAGCTGAATTGAAATATTAATTTTCTCATTAAATCTTAGAAGGGAATTCCTAAGCTATGTTTCTAAATTAATGTTCTTCAAACGGTTTGAGGTCAAATAAGAATTTGTGGAAGCAAATTTATGTTCTAAAACTCAAATATACCAAAAATCGCAAGCATTTAATTTAGCCTTGACATTATAAGATTAGTTGCAAGTATTCGTTTGATCGCATAAAAGTGCCTTTGTAAGGTAACGTTGATAAAAAAATTATAAGTTAAAAAGAAATGTGAAATAAAAAAGCTAAAACACTTATATTGCTTTTTGATATAGTGGAGGTAGATAGTGGAGGAGGCCTTTCAAAAGCCATAAGCCCAAGAATTGAAACAGATAAAAATATTTTTCAATATTATATCGTTTTAAATCATATGAAAACTATAAAAAAAGTCAGAATTAAAATTAATTTAGGCAGTATCAAAACAGTAATTATCGTTGTTCTGTGATACCTATAGAACAAAACCTTGATACTTATAGAAAACTTATAGAAAACATATGATACATATAGAACGAAAAAGACAATTATAACAAAATAAATTAAAAACAAAATATTAGTAATTAGGTTGAGGTTATAATATGTAATTTATAAATTAAAGCTTTATGAACATTGAAGATTCTAATTTGTTATAAATAAGTAATTATCAAAAAAATGTGACGTTGAGAAGGAAAAAATACAGAGAGATTTTAACTTAAGTGCCAACTGTTATTACTTTTTAAATTAAGGACTGGAAATTCCGGCAAAAAGTGTTTATTAAAAATTAAAAGTATTTACATTTAGAGTGACTCGTATTGTTATCATAAAATTGTAAAAAAGTATTTCATAAATAATGAAATTATAATTGTATTTATATTTAGTTGACATCGCTTGCTTGTCGCTATTTTTCTATTTAAAATATAATGAGTATAGTCGAAGCTACTCTTGCGATGTCTGTAGTCTTCATAATTTTTAATATAGCCTGGGGTCGTTGTCTCTCAGAACAATGTACAAAGAAACTAAAACAAAGGCACACATGCGCATTCTCATAAAGTCCAAAGCATGCGAATTAATTAGTACGTCTCAGTGTAGGTTTTGAAGGTAGGTAAATGTTTAGCGTGCTGGGAAGATGCGTTATAACTTTTTTAAGTGTACGGGTGCCTTGGAGCGCGTTGGTGCATTTATGTTGAGCTTAATGCAAGCTGGCACGACCACTCGGGTCCATAACGACCCCTTCCAAAGAATACAATTTGTTCATACAGAGTAGCAGAAGGTGCAGTTCTTATGGAATTTATATAAACTTTTAATGATAAACGTTAAATGCTTTTTAAATGAAATGAATGTTTTTTTTATATATTTTATTCTTAGTACTTTGACAGGAATTTCAATTATTGTGTATATATAATATAGCGACTTGGAGATATAATTTGATAAAATTTTTATTTAAAGAAAAACTATAGCAACAATAATACATTTTATAACATTAGGTTTGTAGAATCGCTTTTATAATTTTTATATTATTTATTCTGTGACTTTTAGTAACCGGTCGGTAAAAGTCTAAAAACCTTTTCTGTGGGCTTGAAAAAGTGGAGCTAAAATTTTTAATAAATATATTCTTTATACTGAGACAGTATTTAGATTTTAGTTAAATTTAATAATGCTTTCAATGTATCTCGTATATGGGACAGTTTTTTTTATGAGTAATATGTGAATGAAAAACTAAGACTTGATTTTACATTGATATAAATAGGTTACACTTATCTTCACATGAGAATTTATAACAGAAAACGTAATAAGTATTTTCCGTAGACATACTTAAAAAAATTGCTTTTATAATGCGGTAATAAAGCCGTAATAAATAGGCCGCATTTCTTCATTAAATTGTTAACACTCCTCCGTATTTACAACGTACATAATTCCTAACGTTTTTGACGACTGCGTTACGTGTGGCGTGTTTACGTAAATTGCTTTGTTTAGTTCCATTTAATTCGAACGATACGATTGTTGCGATATATTTTACCCTATTAATATAATAATAAATAATCACCAAAAAAACATTTGCTAAAAGGCTTTGCTATCATTTAAAACTTCATTTATTACATATACTGGACGTACATAAAAAGAAATAGACGTTTTTACATCATAGTTATGTTAGTCCATAACATATTTTTACATGAATCTAGGTTATATAAACGTTACAAAATTTTACTAACATTTTGTCATCTAGTCTAGGTGAAATCCCTTGCCTCTATAATCCAAGTCACCGAATGCTTTGACAATGGACCCAAATTATACAGATGGGAATTAATCAGTGGGCTTTACGAGTACCGAGTCAATGATTAAAGCTTGTGTTATAGAACATTTTACTTAAGTCATACCATTTGAGGTTAACTTACATTGTAATTTTATGTAAATATCGATCTTGTTCAAGTATTACAGTTTAAATTCTTTTTATAATTTGAAGTCATTTCACCACTTGCCATAATTATTAGCTCGTTTGAATTATGTATGCATACCTTGTATTTTAAGGTCGAAAAACAAACACGACACTCCAAGTTGTTATTTATTCAAAGGTGTGCTGGGATGGTTTACATAAATTTTAATATCTGATACATTTTCATAAAAGTCCGCGTTTATCGTGAATGACTAGAGAGTCGCTTATTTTTTTCTCTGTAGAAACTCTTCCCGTAGCTACTAAAATATTCCACAAATCCTTTCTGTTCTGGATATTTAATTTTTTATGAATATGGGGATTTATATCTTGAGACGATTCTATGTTAAAAGGTTAAACGAAAGGTTCCTCGCTTAAGTAAACCTTTTACTTTTATGCTCTGCTTACTTAAAATTTTAATAATCTCAGTATGTTTTCAAGAATATTCATAATGTTTAAAGTGTCCAGATACCTAACGAACTTTGTAATTTAGAAGCAGTTTAAATTTGTTATAGTCATTGGATTTTTTCTTAAAGTCTTTTTCACTGTATAAATGTTACCTGTTTAATTACATATATATTCAATATAAGTTTAGCTTAAATAAATGTGGTTCTATATGAGAATATTGATCAGGCATGAATTTCAATTATGAAAATACATTCATCGATACTTAATATTCGTACTATTAACATTAACTCAACACAAATCTTCAGTTCCCGACTTAACCCTCATATTAAATGACGTAGCAGAAGTGGGTCAGGTATGGCAAATAAATTCAGTTCGTATAAATGCGAACCGATATTAGGTCCCCGTCTGGCTGGCAGGTCATCGGTCTTTTTGGTATTGCAAGACGTTCCTCTACGTTCGCTAGCTCTTTAATATTCCTTTATCAAAATTCAAGTTCACTTATAAGTCGCGATATTAATGATATATTCCGTATATAATTATTATTTTGCTATTTTGTTTAGATATATAATTAGGGTTGATCGATATTCTCATATTGAGTCAGAGTTTATATTAGACAGGTTTCCTTTCAGAAAAACTTAACGTTCAAAATTTAATAGAGACGTTGTTTAAGTACTTGTACCAAGTGTGGCTGTTATTTGGACTTGCAGATGTTATGGTTGCCAAAATGAACAGAAATTTTACGACTCAGGTACTTATCTTGTCATACGAGCATGTTCTGGTGATTGAGCCAAGTACGGTTAAGTGCAAGTCGCATTAGCGATGCGGCGCCGGCGGACATCCGCCTTCACTTGCGACAACACTCCAAGCTTTCAACAACACAAACATTCCGGCGAGGAGTATTACCTAAAATGGAATACACGCAAGAATTCAAACTCCTGTTATGCTAGTAATAAAGAGAGAAATAATGTAAATAATTAAAAGAGAATTAGTGTTTTAAACAAATTTGTTCTCTC